ACACCAAAGGCTTCGAGGATTCCCTGATCAGCCTGGCCTTGGTCTCGCACGGGGCGATGAATGGCGTGATGGGCCATCTCCACAGGCAGTGGTCCCGCGAAAGCACGTCGCCTTTCCTGGCCTGCCGCCCCCAGCTCTTGCGGGAGATCATGGACCACGTGTTCCGCCGCCCCGACGGCCTGGCGCAGCTGTCGGTGCGACGGCTCATGGGCGAGGAAGTGGCCCGCGGCGAGTTCACGGCACTGACCCACGATGGCACCTTCAAGTTCTTGTTCTCGGTCATCGGCCAGAAGAAAATGGACCAGAAGAAAGGCGGGATCTACGTCGGCAACACTCTGATGGGGATGACAGGAGCTTGCCCTGGATTCAGCGTCCAGCCCGATGAGAGCACGGAGAGCTTCGGTGCAGCGGTCAGGGAGCGGCTGACCCCCGCTGCGGTCGAGCAGGTGCGGATGCTTTACTCCGACGCCCCGAGCGAGAAGATGTTGGAGCATCTGCCGAGGTGTCTCGGCGTGGCACAGGACAGACTGCACATTGCCTTGCGGGCCGAGCAGTGCACGGACGGGAAGAGGACGGCTTGCTCATTTGAGCTGCTGCAGCTCACGAGGAAGTTTTCCCGTCCTCTCGGCGTGCCCGAGGAGTACTTGACGAGGGAGATCTACCATGGCCTCCCGATGCCCGAGGTGGTCTGGGGTGACGCGCAGCCCGCGCGCGAGCGTGCCGACAAGGACTGGGCGGATTTCTGCAACGAGCCTTTCGTCTCGCACGCGGAGTACGTGGCCGAGTTGAGGCGCATAGTCCAGAAGCACGAGAAGATCATGGACAGGAAGAATTCCAAAGGCGTGCCGCTCCGAAAAGTTTTGGAGAGCGCGAGCTCCACGAAGAACTACTACTACTTGCGCAACAATTCGGTGTTCGCCCAGCTCTCTCGCGGGCAATTGGTCGTCCAGGGCACGCCCCAGAACGAGGCCGAGCAAAGGAACATGAAGCGCTGGGCGTGGTGCGTGTGGCAGCAGCACGAAGACCGCGTCCACGTGCTCAAGGAGGTCTACGCCCTCTACCGCATGCTCGTCCATGCCGCCCAGCACGAGTCGCTCGGCACGCGGCTTCCGCCCTTGCGGCTCGCAGAGATGTTGGCCGGCCAGATCGCTGCTGGCGGTCTCAGGGACGGCATCGGGCCAGACGGATCGCTGCCTATCGGAGAGGATGGCCCGAGCGGTTCTGTGCCCAACGGAAATGGGCCCAACCGCGGCGCACTCAGGAAGTCCCTCGTCAAGGTGGACGTCGGCTTGGCCGCGAAACAGAAAGAGGGAAAAAACAAGAGGGCAGCCGCGTGGAGCAAGGCTATGCCTGCAAAGAAGAAGCCGTGGGGGCACAGGAAGAGGGCGACGTCGACGAGGAAGTCCGCACCCTCCACCGTACACGCCGTGGTCGAGGAGGTCGCGGGGATCCAGGCCTGAGGCGCGGTTCCCTGAATCTTGCGCTTCGAGGCACGAAGCGCCGTAAGATTGCCCTGCTCTTGCGCCGCTATTAGGCATCGCCGCCGCACGCCTCTGTGACTGCACTGTTCAGTCGGGAGACAGTAAGACTGGACGTGATAAGGAGAGCACGGTGATTTATGATCACTCTGCTCGACCGCTAGCATTTTGCACGGCCACCGCAGGTATCATTTACTATCTTAGTACAGTCAGGTTGTACGACTGGGGCTGCGAAAGAAAATGAAACCATGCATCGGGAATGTCGTACTTCTCATTGTTATTACCAGAAGTTTTGCACAATGCCCGTGGTCAGTGGTGAAGCTCGGATGCGTACCCCAGTATGCCATAAAGGTAAGCACCCAGATCTTCATACGTTGGAATGTTCTTGTGGCGGTCCCGGCGACCCCCAAAACAACCGAAAAACATCTCTTGCCCACTAAAGCTTTTTGAGTGCCAGAAACCTGGTAGTGGGCAAAAGCCTTTTTGGTGCTTCTGTGCAGCTAAATGTTTCTCGAGACCCGACATGCGGCCATTACGATTAATCCGCGAAGCCGGTGGAACCACAAACTTATCACAGGGAAGACCCAATGATCTTGCCCAGAACAAGACAAACACAAACATGAGCTTTGCCCCTAGGGTCTTTCGGGATCGAGAAAGCTGATATTGAGCACGAGGGTATGTAGTTTAGTTTGCTTCGAGCCTACCCTTCGACGTTGATTGGATGCGCATTCAGGCCACCTAGATCTTTAGATCTCTAGGTGGCCTAGATGGAGCTCCTAGGCCGAATGGTCTGGGATGAGGCCTTTCACGGGTGAGGGGGGGGGGTCGCCGGGGGGGGTCGCCGCATCCTCCCCGGGGGGTCCCGGAGCTCAGAAAAGCTTCAAGACGAGCCAAGAGCGCCAGAAGACACCCCCAAAAGGGTACAAGAGGGCCTCGACTCGAAGACGATCGCCCCAAGACGCCCAAGACGGCCCGAAGACGGCCCAAGAGGCCCTCAAGACGCTCCAAGAGAGCCCCAAGAGCACTCCCAAGAGGGCCCCAGGAGCCAAAATCGTCAATTTTACATCGGTTTTTGAATAATTTTGGCCTTCTCGCCTTTTCGGCTTCCCGACACTCCAAGACGGCCCAAGAGGCCCCCAAGAGGCCCCCAAGAGCGCACCAAGAGGCCTACAAGAGGGCCCCAAGACGGCCCAAGAAGGTCCCAGGACAGCCCAAGAGGCGCCCAAGAGGCGCCCAATAGGGCCCCAAGACGGGCCCAAGAAACGGCCAAGAGGGGGACGAGGAACCGAGAATTCGAGACTTCCGCCCTAAGAGGCCCCCGGGAAGCCCCAAGAGGCCCCCAAAAGGCCCCAAGAGGCCCCCAAGCGGCGCCAAGACGCCCCCAAGATGCGCCGAAGACTGCCTCCGGAAGCCCCAAGAGGCCCAAAAGAGGCCCGAAGAGGCCCCACAACGGCCCCCAAGAGGCTTCAAGTTGCCTTCCAGACGCCCCCGAGAGGTCAACCACGAGATCCCACCCAACATCCATAAGGCCTCCTCCTCCTCCCCCTTCACCCTTCCTCCTCCTACTCCCTTCCGCCTCCTCCTCCTCCTCCTCCTCCTCGTGCCCCCCCCCCTCGTGTTGTCTTTCGTCATATTCAGGGTCGGCGGCAACGGCCGTAAGGCCTTCGCAATCTTCGAAACAGTGCATTACCCCTGAGACATTCTCATCAACTTATAAGAAGGATGACTCGTGGCCCGACGCATAAAAGGAAGGTCAGAGACACGATAGGAACTTTGGAATGGACAATACACTGCGGCCTGCCCGCCTACTGCGGCAATTGAACCGCGTGCAGCCCCATGGAGAAAGAGATACAAAGGTTAAGGGGGGATGCGTTTTTCCTGTATGCCGGGGGTTGCGGTTACGATTGCGAATGGAATGCGACGGTGTTGGCTCCCCGGGGCTCTCTTGGAGATCCTCTTGGAGCGCTCCGGGGGCATCTTGGAATCCTCTTCGACCGTTTGAACCGCCTCGTGAGCTGTCTGAGAGCATTCGAGAACGTGTTGGGAGCGATTCGGAGGCTGTCTTCAGTTGCCGAAGGCCTCCTGGAGGAGCCCAAAGACTTAGAATGTGGCGTTGTGGTATACCAAGAAAAAACGTTCGACACGGGCCCAAGGATTCGAGGTTTCCAGAAGAAACCGCACACCGTAGGAGAGGCACTCCTGAAGGAGCCCGAGGACAGAGGATAGGGCTTTTGGCAGGAGCCCAAGGACTTAGGATGAGGTTTTCGGCAAGGACAAGTGCCCTCAGGATGAGGTTTCCCACAAGGGCCGCAGGACGTACGACAGGGCCTCCCGGAGACGCCGAAGGAATTAAGACAAGGTGCGTGAGAGGAGCCCGCAGAACTAAGATAAGGTGTTCGACAGGGGCGCGAGGACTTGGGAAATGAAGCCCAAGGACTCCTGGGAAGGCTGCGACTGGGGCCAATGGGCTCAGGATCAGGTGTTCGACAGGAGGAGCCCAAGGACAATGACAAGATGTTCGACAAGGCCCACGGACTTGGGATAATAAAGTTCCCACTAGGGGCTGCAGGACCTAAAAGAGGAGCCCAAGGACTTATGCCAAGGTGTTCGACGGAGGCCACAGAGACTTCGGGGAAGGCTTGCGACAGGGGCCGCGGGGAGCGTCGGAGAGAGGACTTCGGGACATATGTTTAAGCGAAACCCCATGACGCAGGATGTGTTCGACAGCGGCACGAGGCCTTAGGGTCAGGTGTCCGACACGGGCTGCAGAACGAAGGAGCGGGCTTCCTGGAGAGGTGCATTGACTTAGCATGAAGGATTATTTGAGAGGAGCCCTCGGACAATAATAGGAACAAGCAAACTGACAGTGGGCCAAGATCGTAGGATAAGGTGTTCGAGAGGGGCCTAAGGACATAAACAAAACTCAAAGAGAAGCTCAAGGACTTATGACGCGGTTCCAAGTGAGCGCAAATACTTAGGATGAAAAGCTTGAGAGGAGCTCCCCCGGAATTGGGATGAGGTGTAAGCCGGGGACAACGACGCGCAGAAGAGAACCTCCCTGAGAAGCCCCAGGATTGAGGATACAACGTTTGAGAAAAGGCCACCCGTGTCTCCTGGGGCTTCTTGGCGGGCTGTTCGGGAGCACGGTCTGGAATCGTAGGTACCTTTTTTTTTTCGTGCGTCTTCCAGCAAAAGGCAAAAGCAGTCACCGCTCCTGAGACGTCCAGACGAACACGTTGGACCAGGGCACGCTGGCAGGCAAGGGGCAACCAGTAGACTGAACGAGCTCAGTTCCCTCCTCCTATCCTCCGTCCTCTGTAAGACCGTTCGGCCCCCACACTCAACAATCGTGGAACGAGCCCATGCATCTGGGTAATGAGCGCCTGCGCAGCTTGGCGCGTCTCACGCTTACGGTGGACTTAAAGCCTAGGATCCATGAGCCCAGCTCCAAGTCCTAGAGTCTGGCTGCATCCTCTTTCGCAGGCGCAATTGCCATTCAGCGGCTGCGCAAGCACTGCCCACTCAACGACTGAAGTCAAGAAGGGACACGCTGTGACGCTGAACACATGCACGGGAAGCCATTGTCGCCTGCGTATGATCATCTTCACCCAATAAACCCCCTACCGCAAACCCAGCACGGTCGAGATGCTTGATGTAAACATTCAGGTACTGGATCCCCTCCCTCGTGCGCCCATGAGCCACCTTTACATCTACCTTCCCAACATGTTTCCACTTCGATGTTCCGTAGCTCACATCCAGGGCGTGAAAGTGAAGACCGCCAGACCACGTAGCCTCTACCCACACCCCTGTCATGTTCAATTCTCGGAAGTACAAGTCTGCGCACTGCATACCCATTTGCACCGCTTCAGCCTCTACATGAAGCAGGGCTCTCTCAGCGCGCTCCCCCTTTGGAATGTTGACCAGTGTGTGCTTGCCAGGCCTCCTCAGGTCGAAACGCTCGCCGTAGATGTTTCGTAGGTGTGGGTCCCCTGTGGCAGTCATGGCGCCGCTGGAGACAGCCAACGGTGGAACGGGCCCCGGGGAAGCCGTGGGGCCCGGCGTCGAGAGAGGCGTCGGACGCGGCGTCGGTGGCTGCGTTGAGATGACGGCTAGGGCCGCCGGGCCTCCGATGGCTTGCAGGGGAGCGTTGCCGGACGCGCCGGGCGCAGTGGCGGAGAGCGCGCTGCTGATAAGGGCAGCAAGCCTGGCCAGGTCTTGACCAGAAGCCTGGGAGCTCAACAGCTCTGTCGCGCTGTCCTGAACCGAATGGGCCGTCTCTTCCAGCACGACAATGCGGTAGTCGATGGTGACGTTGCCGGCCAGCGAGCGGCGCGTGGCCTCGTACTCGACGGTGGCGTCAAGACGGCTACCACTGTCAATGCTGCAGAACACCGCGACGTCTTCAGGGGCTACGGTACCGTTCATGTAACTCGCGATCGATGATTGAAGAGCCTCCCGCATGTCTGCGCTGCTGGAACAATCTGACGCAAACTTCTCGGGGTCGGGCACCGTCACAGCGAACTCGCCCTGGACCATCGGGGGGGCCGTCGGGGCGGGGGTCGGCGTGGGCGTCGGGCTGGCCGTCGGACTGGCCGTGGGGCCAGCCGCGGGGCTCGCTGCAGGGCTTGATGTGCAATTTCCGGCGTGATCGACCGCAATCTCTTCCGAGCCTCCGAACGCCTCCGTGGGGGCATTGCTGGCCGCGGCAGGCGCAGTGCTGGACAGCTCGTCGCTGATGATGGTGACGAGTCTGGCCAAGCCCTGACTGGAAGCCTGGGGGCCCAAAAGCACTTCTGCGCTGTCCCGAATCGAGTCGACGAGTCCGACAGGCGCGGCGATGTCGTACTGAATGGTGACGTTGCTGGTACGGTGCTCGTCGACACGCTGCCCGAAGACGCAAAACACCGAGACGTCCTCAGGGGTGACGGTGCCATTGAAAATTGTCGCGATTGACGTTTCTAGAGCAACTCGCACGTCTGTACCGTTGGAACAATTCTCTGCAAATTCTTCGGGGTCGGGGACGGTGAGGGCAAAACCACCTTGAACCGTTGTGCAGACCGTCGGGCTTGGCGTCGGGCCAGCAGTTGGGCTGGCTGTCGGGCTGGCCGTCGGGCTGGCCGTCGGACTGGCCGACGGGCTGGCCGTCGGGCTGGCCGTAGGGCTGGCCGTAGGGCTGGCCGTGGGGCTGGCCGTCGGGCTGGCTGTCGGGCTGGCAGTTGGGCCGGCCGTGGGGCTAGCAGTCGGGCTGGCCGTCGGGCTGGCCGTAGGGCTGGCCGTCGGACTGGCTGTCGGGTAGCGCGTCGGGTTGGGCGTCGGGTAGGGCGTCGGGTAGGGCGTCGGGTAGCGCGTCGGGTAGGGCGTCGGGTAGGGCGTCGGGTAGCGCGTCGGGTAGGGCGTCGGGTAGGGCGTCGGGTAGCGCGTCGGGTTGGGCGTCGAGGGCGTCGGGTAGCGCGTCGGGAAGCGCGTCGGGTGGGGCGTGGGGCTGCGCGTCGGGAAGCGCGTCGGGTGGGGCGTGGGTCTGGGCGTCGGACTGGCTGTCGGGCTAGCAGTTGGGCTGGCCGTCGGGCTGGCCGTCGGGCTGGCAGTTGGGCTTGCCGTTGGGCTGGCTGTCGGGCTGGCAGTTGGGCTGGCCGTAGGGCTGGCCGTAGGGCTGGCCGTGGGGCTGGCCGTCGGGCTGGCTGTCGGGCTGGCAGTTGGGCCGGCCGTGGGGCTAGCAGTCGGGCTGGCCGTCGGGCTGGCCGTCGGGCTAGCCGTCGGACTGCGCGTTGGGTTGCGCGTCGGACTGGCAGTTGGGCTGGCCGTGGGGCTCGGCGTCGAACGTCTCCGTCTCGGCGTCGAACGTCTCCGTCGCGGCGCATAAGAGGGGGGGCTTGGAGCAGGAGGACTATTCCCCTGAAAGAATTGGCCAAACAGGCTTCCAAGTCCCCCAAGCGCAGGTGCTGCACCTGCAAACATCGCACCGCTAAGCGACAACAGCGCAGCCCCAACACCCCCCGCTACAATGCCTGCTAGAGCTGCTCCTATATCTTGAAGAGTATCGTCAAACGAGCTGGCTTCGACCTCGTACCCAAGGGTGACGTTGCCATCAACCAATTTGCAGAACACATTGATGGCCTGAGGGTCGACGGTGCTACCAAGTTCACCATCGAGGTAGGTCGCAATCGATGCTTGAATATCCGGGTTATTTGTACAATTTGCCACAAACTCTTCTGGGTCGAGCACCGTTGCAGAGAGCTCACCGTACACCGCTGGGGGGGCCGTCGGGGCGGGGGTCGGGCTGGCCGTCGGAATGGCCGTCGGGCTGGCCGTCGGGCTGGCAGTTGGGCTTGCCGTTGGGCTGGCTGTCGGGCTGGCAGTTGGTTTGGGCGTCGGGTAGGGCGTCGGGTAGCGCGTCGGGTTGGGCGTCGGGTAGGGCGTCGGGTAGGGCGTCGGGTAGCGCGTCGGGTAGGGCGTCGGGTAGGGCGTCGGGTAGCGCGTCGGGTTGGGCGTCGGGTAGGGCGTCGGGTAGGGCGTCGGGTAGCGCGTCGGGTTGGGCGTCGGGTAGGGCGTCGGGTAGCGCGTCGGGTTGGGCGTGGGGCTGGGCGTCGGAGTGGGCGTGGGGCTGGGCGTCGGGTTGGGCGTGGGGCTTGGCGTTGGGTTGGCCGTGGGGCTGGCCGTCGGGCTGGCCGTAGGGCTGGCCGTGGGGCTGGCCGTCGGGCTGGCCGTCGGACTGGCCGACGGGCTGGCCGTCGGGCTGGCCGTAGGGCTGGCCGTGGGGCTGGGCGTCGTGGAGATCGATGATGTCAGCAATGCAGCGACAATGTCTCCATCCCTTTCTGTGGATACCGCTAGTCGAACTTGACTTGGAAGTGATTGGAACGGTGGGCAATTTACACCGTTGACGGCAACGGTCATTGTTGCGAGGGACATGTCGATCTGCACACGGATCACATCACCAACTTGAATACCGTGATTTGAACAACCCTGCCAACTACTTTGACCCCACTTGTTGCCTAGAAGTTGGAGACCTCGACCAGATTGGCAATTGTACCCATCAACGCTGCTGTGGTAGCATCCGCTCTGTCCAAGATCGTACCCTTCGAATACGACACCGAATGCTACACTGCAGCCTGGCGATTGAGTACAGCCATGGGACGACGCGACATATGCAAACGATGCCGTGTAAGTCCCTGACTCTATCCATGGGCCAAACGCTATGGTCCTCCAGAGCCATGATGAAGCCGCACTCCTTGTCACCGTTGAGCCGTCGACGACGTACCACGTGTTGTCTGGCTGCCAAAGGGACACCGGCGAAGTAAACACCTGCAATGACGCGCCGTACTCGTAGAAATACAACAGCACACCCCTTGGGGGGCTTGCCACCGACCAAGAATGGAGCCTCACACCGTTTTTGTACACGACAATCATGTTCGCCTCCCACTGAAACCTGAACACATCATGCGTCGTGTATGTGCTGTCGGCTCTACCAGGTATGTAGACTCGCCCTGCTGGGAAAAGGCCTATATATGCTCCATTCGGGTATTTCGAATTGTCTGTCAGATCAGCGGTGAGACCAACCCGTTTGTGTGCCCATGTCTCTTCAGCCTGGATGCTTACGCTTACAATGCCGTGCGCACTCGCCGAGGCATCGTACGCCGACCCACTGGATATTTTTCGGATCGTGTTGCCCACTCGCACGGCTTGCGTGAGCGTCCATGCTGCCGACGGGTCAATGTGCACGTAGTGGAGGCAGTATCCTTCTCCACATGAATATGCCATTGTAGTACCACTGTCCCAGAGACTGCTGATTGATGCACGCGTCAGGCTGTGATACCCTGACACATATCGGGCAGATCGCGAACCTGTTTCAACTCCGTTCACTATGGTTACACCAACCATCTTGGTGTAGCCCCCATGGTAGACAGCGAAAATCCACAAAGTGAAATCGCTTCGGTGCAGGACTGCACGGACATTATTGTACTGGGACAACATAGCGCTGCTTGGACCGACTTGCCCAGTCACGGTAAGCACTCTCGTCTCAGCACCCTGATGCGGGCATTGGCTCCCTCTCGCCCACCCATAGTCGTTTCCCGTGTAGATGCTGCTCGACCCTGCGAGCGCGCAGTCGAACCTTGAGCAGCTGCCTCCACATCCACAATTTCCAACCCACCTGCAATAGTCGTTGCAGATGCCCTGCCCCTGGACGTCGTACCACCCGCGCTCACAGCTTCCTCCGTAGCCCAGGTCTACGATGTTCTGCTGGGCTGGTAGTATGTAGCGATCTTCGAGATTATTCGGATCGAAGGGGTAGATCACTGGGGAGATTAATGGAAAAGTAGAGGCGTTGGTCCGCTCGGCCCCCTTGCCGTCGGCATCGCCGCTCTTGTCGTCAGCGTTCAGCTGCAGCGAGCCCGCGTGACTGAATATGGAAAGCATGATTGCGATGTGTTTGGCCCAACGCATCCTGGAACGAGCGGCGGCTCGCCTCAGAGCAAGAGGTCTGGCGATGTGTACGTGCGATGCCGGAGTGCACCGAGATCCGCTTGTATGCTTCAGCTCAAACGGCTTGAGCTTGAGCCAAAATGGAGGGCCCGAAAGCCTTCTCGGAGGCGTCTTGGAGGCAGGGTTGGCTCTCTTGTGCGCCTCCTAGTGGCATCTCCGCGCATATTGGAGACGTCCTGGAAGCCTTTTGGGTGCCTGTTGGCTGTTGCCGTGCTGACCTACGCTACGCGACAATATGCAATGATAAGAGACGCTGTGATACACGATGCTAGTATGCTATGCTGTGCGAAGCAATGGAATGCCTAGCTATGCGACCCCTCCCTCCCAATTACGACAGCATGGCAGCCTTGGCATAACCGCCACCCCCACCCCCGAATAAAACCAGCACGACGTCCTTATGAAACCAATCCCCTCACCATCGAAGGTAAACCCGAATCAGAACCAGGACAACGTCATTGAACCACGCCCTCCAATTGCTGTTGGTGCTCCCCTCCTCGTCCTCCTCCTGGTCGTCCTCCTCCTCCTCCTCCTCCTGCTCCTCCTCCTCCTCCTCCTCCTCCTCCCCCTTTTCCCTCTTTACCCAGTAACATGTCGCGAACGCTTCCTGCGGCACAATGCACGAACAAGATGAGGTACCCTCCTCCTCGCGTCTCTGCCTCACCCCCCCTTCTCCTCCTCCGTCGGCGTCTGTGTAATGATGTGCCGTGCGCTGCTCTGCCTCGCTATGATTGCTACGATATGCCATCCTATGCCATGCTATGCTATGCCGTGCTACGCGATGCTACACTACGCTATGCTATGCCGTGCCGTGCTGACCTACGCTACGCTACAATATGCAATGATAAGAGACGCTGTGATACACGATGCTACTATGCTATGCTGTGCGAAGCAATGGAATGCCAAGCTATGCGACCCCCCCCCTCCCAATTACGACAGCATGGCACCCTTGGCATAACCGCCACCCCACCCCCGAATAAAACCAGCACGACGTCCTTATGAAAACCAATCCCCTCACCATCGAAGGTAAACCCGAATCAGAACCAGGAAAACGTCATTGAACCACGCCCTCCAATTGCTGTTGGTGCTCCCCTCCTCGTCCTCCTCCTGGTCGTCCTCCTCCTCCTCCTCCTCCTGCTGCTCCTCCTCCTCCTCCTCCTCCCCCTTTTCCCTCTTCACCCAGTAACAAGTCGCGAACGCTTCCTGCGGCACAATGCACGAGCAAGATGAGGTACCCTCCTCCTCCCGTCTCTGCCTCACCCTCCTTCTCCTCCTCCGTCGGCGTCGCCCAGGGTGCCAGAAAACGACCCCAAATAAAACCAGCACGACGTCATTGTGAAAACCAAATCCCCCTGACATCCAGGTGCATCCCTTTACGCCAGCATACGTGTTTAGGAGTGGCCACCCCGAATAAAACCAACACGACGCCTTTTATGAAAACCAATTCTCCCGACACCAAAAAAAAACAAGAATACAACAAGAACGATCTCCTCAAGCAACCACGGGCCTATGGCTATGTGTCTCTCCTCGTTCCTTCGACCCTCCTCCCATCGTACCCGCCCGACTCCTGTACCATCACCACCCTCCTCGTCGCGCTTCGCTCCTCCTTGTCCTCCTCCTCCTCCTCCCCCTTCGCGTCCCCCCGAAATGACACAGAAGTAGACCCCCTAATTCCCCTCTACGTCTGCAAAGCTGCCCGAGAAACACCACCCACGAATAAAACCAGCACGACGTCATTAAGAAAACCAAGTCAGCTGACACGGAAATGAAACCTGAATTAAACCAGAACTGCGTCCTTCACTCCCCCCGTGTACTCATGACCCTCCTCCTCTTCCCTCACCTTCGCCCGGGGTGCCAGAACACGACCCTGAGTAAAACCATCACAACGTCCTTAGGAAAACCAGGCCCGTCCGACATCCAAGTAAACTCCTCTACGGCAGCATAGGTGCATAGGGGCAACCAACCCGGATAAAACCAGCACGACGCCTTTATGCAAACCAATTCCCCCGACATCAAAGTGAACACCGAACACAACCAGAACGCCCTCCCTATGACCCCCACCATGGTTATTTGTCTTTTCCCGTTCCTCCGACCCTCCTCCCATCATACCCCCCGCTCTCCCGTACCATCACCACCCTCCTCATCGCGCCTCGATCTTCCTCCTCCTCCTCCACCTCCTCCTCCTCCTCCTCCTCCTTCCCCTCCCACCTCGCCTCCACCCGTAACGTCAAAGCAGTAAGCCTCTGATTCCCCTCTACGTATGCATGGCTGCCCAGTAAACACCACCCACGAATAAAACCAGCACGACGTCAGTGAGAAAACTAAGTCAACCAGCAAGGAATCGAACTCTGAAGTAAACCAGAACGGCGTCCTTCACTCCCCCCCTTTCCTCATCACACTCCTCCTCCTCCTCCTCCTCCTCCTCCTCCTCCTCCTCCTCCTCTTCCATCGGCTTCGCCCGGGGTGCCAGATAACGACCGCGAATAAAACCAGCACAACGTCCTTACGTCCTTATGACCCCCCAGACATCCAAGTAACTCCCTCTACGGCAACATGTTTGTACAGAGCCAACCACCCCGAATGAAACCAGCACCACGTTTTTATGCAAACCACTTCCCCCGACATCAAAGTGAACCCCAAAACTTATGGTTGTTTGTCTTTCCTCGTTCCTCCGACCCTCCTCCTTTAATACAACCCGCTCTCCTGTGCCATCACCACCCTCGTCCTCCTCCTCCTCCTCCTCCTCCTCCTCCTCCTCCTCCTCGTCGTCCTCGATCTCATCCTGCTCCATATCCTCCTCCTCCTCCTCCTCCTGTTCCATATCCTCCTCCTCTTCCTCTCCCTCCTCCTCCTCCTTCTCCTCCTCTTCCTCCGTCGGCCCGAGGACCTGTAATTTCAAGTGGTCCAAACGCGCTGTGCATGAAACTGGGGTCCCCAGAACCGTTTCTGAGGATCCGCAGTGCCCTGATTGTGCAAGTGTGACTCTGGGCTTGCGTCATGGAGCCAGATTTTGGCGATGGCTGCGGCTTGGGGCCCTCTTGGGGGAGTCCTTTGGGCGCCGACAGGGGCCGTCATAGGCGAAGTCCCGGGCCTTTTGGAGCTCCTCTTCAGCAATCTTGGGCCCCTCTGAACCACCTGGGAGGATGCCGCCTGAGGGCGATTGCCGTTGGAGCTTCCCGCAAGTTGGACACCTCTGGGGCTCTCGTGGGGACCTCTTGTAACCTTCTGGGGGCTGTCTGGGCCGTTCTTGGGCCATCCTGGCGCCGTCTTGCGCCCTTTTCCAACTTGCGTGGTCTGTCCGGAAGCGCCTCTGGGATCCTCTTGGGCTGTTTGGGGCGCCTGGGGAACAATAAAAGCGAACATGCAAAACTCGACGGGGCCCTTAATGGAACTCAATATTGTTTGTCTCCCACGGGAGACGTGGACGCCCTGTTGATGCCGTCATGGGGCCTCTTGGCTGCGACCTGGGCCGTTTTCAGGCCATCTTGAACCCCCTTGGAGCGCTATTGGGGGGGCGCTCTTGGGCCGTTTTGGAGGCGTCCGGGGCCGTCTGGAAGCAATCGCGAGTCCTCTTGGAGCGCTCTCGTGGGCGACAGAGCCCCCCAAAAGGCCGAGAACCGGCCCTGGAGCCCAGAGGGTACACGCGGTTAGCGCGGGAGGGGGCCCAACACTCCGACATAATGTGCCGATGGGACCACCCCACGGGTGATAAGGGAGATTCGGGAAAGGGGGGGTCGGTCGATTTGCGATGGCTCTGAGTTATTTGATTATTTCTTCAACTTTCTTGTGTCGCTCGCATCAGGACAATCATCAGAACAGGCAACAGGCCAACCATTGGGACAACCGCGAGAATCAAACGCGGGGACACCGCGTGGCCATTCGCGAGGACGACCACGTGGACCACCAGGAGAATCATCAGGGAAACCATCAGGGCAACAGTCAGGGCAACTGTCAGGACACCCATCAGGACAACCATTAGAACAACCATCACCACAACCACCAGGACAACCAACAGGACAACCATCAGGACAATCTTCAGGACAACCACCGGGACCACCGCAGGCCAACCATGAAGACAGCCATCAGGGCAACCACCAATCCAATCATCAAGACAAACACCAGGAAAACCTCCAGGACAACCATCGGGGCAACCAGCGGGGCAACCAGGGGGGCCACCCGCGGCCGGGGGCAAGGCCCGGCGGCCCTTTGGGCTCTTTGTGGCTTCTACAATGGCTGGGCCCCGAACAGCGCCGCCTCACCCGCGCGCGCGACTCGAACCAAAACCGAAACCGACTACCCGGCGGGGCGCTCTCTGTTCCACTGCGGTCTCTCTCCCCCACCTCTGATACGCTGCTTGCAACGCATTGGCGCCACAGCCACGCATGGCGCTGCGCCGACTCCATTCGTCGCAGTGGGAAGGGCAATGTGAAACGTTGACTGCGCAGCCGCAGTGCGGGAAGGGTTGCTAGGGATCCACGCGGGCGAACCAATCCGGAGGCGCGGGGAATGGCGCGGCGGAAAAGATGGGAGCAAGGAGCTGGCTTTCTGAAGGACCCTCAACGCGGCTCGCTCTCGTCGCCCGAGTCGCCAGCAGGGGCCGCCGCCCTCTTCTCCACGCCGTGCGCCAACAGCGCGCTGCCGCGCCCCTTGCCGCAGAGGTTTCCCGTCGTGCTCGTTTGCAAAACCTCCACGAGCTTGCATGAGTTGTCTTGGGGAACCATGAAGTCGACGTCGGCCAGGCAGGCAGCAGCGTCGCCGTACCGCAGGCGCACATCCTCCAGCCGGATCTTCATGGCGGCGTACATGGCCGCGTGCCCGTCCCTGGCCACACGCGCTGACCGGTGATAGACGCACGCCAATTTGCACGGGTTGGGGCCCGAGCAAAACCGCGAAGCGTGGGAGCGAGAGGCGCCGAGACTATGCAGAATGTTACGCACGCCCTGATCGATACACCACGTTCTTCGCGACGAACCCTGACACCCCTCCGTCGGCGTCGTTGCCCAGCCCGCCGAACCCGCGGAAGTTGGCATAGATGATCTCATCTAAGAGCGCCGCGTCCCCCGCCGACTTGTCGGACAAGAAGCGCAGCAGCAGGTCGACGCTGCGCTCGAAGCCATCGGCGTAGTCGCCGCCGGGGAGAGTGTCGAGGACGTTGGATCTCCCCACCAGCAGGAGGCACTCCGACTTGCTCCCGCAGGAAAAAACTCCTGAGTGCACCAGTCAACTTCGACGTTTACATCGGCCCGAATCGTCTCGTCAGGCGAAGAATCTCGGCGCCCCGCAGGGGCCCCTGGCCGCCCCCCGCCCCCTGCTCCGCCCCCAGGCCCCGGACGGCGCCCCGAGCCCTCACGGACCGATGAAATTCGAAGTTGTCCAGTTTCTCCTTCGCTGGTGCTCCGCCGGACGAGACTGGGGTCGCGGTTGCCCCGCCCAGCCACGAAGCACC